ACTTCATAACTGCAAGTTTGCTACTGTTACGAATTGTAATATAAGTTTTTTTGGAGACAGAAGAGTGCTGAAGGGATCGAGACCCACAGGTTGAGAACCACTGGCTAAGTGATTAAAAACACAGATCTCCCTTTAGTTTCTTTCCCTCCATGTCCTCCTTTTACCAGTAACTGCAACTATTTATATGTTCCCCTTTTTGGAGGGCGGATGACTTAAGAAAGCAAAACTGTAAGAAAATCAGCCGTCACCCACGGCGCTAGGACTAGAAGATGCCTGTCATAAGGATTTCTGTGTTTTGCATTTTGCTGTGGCCGGTGGAGGTGGCAGGGCCTGTCTTGCTCTGCTTGTCTTCAGAGCTGCCCTTGGGTATTTTAGCACATTGAAGAACTTAATAACCAGCTTGATTAAAATGCCACCGGAGGATTCCGATCTGCACAGGAACCGCAGTGACCTGTGAAGGGTCAGCTTGGTAATCGAGCCTCCTTAACCACGGGCGTGGTCCGGCTCTCTCCTAGCCAAGTCTTTGTTTCACATTTAATCAAGGCTCCTTTTTTTTTTTTAAAAAAAAAATTTATTTCACATTTTATTTATTATACGAGGTTACGTGTACCATGGCACTGTGTGGCGGTCAGAGCACAGCTCTGTGGAGTTGGGCCTCTCCTTCAACTTCCTTTACGTGGGTTCAGGGGTCAAACCCAGCTCACCAGGCTTTTTATAAAGGTCTCGAAATTTTTCTAGAATATATTACTCTTTCAAAAGTGATTTCAAATTAAATCTTTTATTTATTGATTGATAGAAGAATGTGATAGCCACATTCTTAATTTTACATTTTCTGATTTTAAATTTCTTTTTACATTTCTTAATTTTAAATTTCATTTTAGGCTTTTTATACTTTTTAATGTATTTCAACTGCTCTTGTCTATATTTTTTGTTAAGTGATGGATTCATGCATTGTTGATCCTTATTTTGTAATCACTGTATTTTTATTTTTCAAAAATGTATGAATTTATTTAATCATTCTTGGTGTGTTTGTGTACATGAGTGTGTATGGGTATGAGCACGTGTGCCATGGGATGTATGTGGAGGCCAGAGGACAGCTTGCAGGAGTCAGTTCCCGCCTACTATGTGTGTCCTGAGGTTCAAACTTTGATTGACATGTTTAGTGGCAAATGCCTTTCCCTGCTGAGCCATTACTCTGGCCCCTTAATCACTGCATCAAAAAACATGTGATACTATATAACACAGCCACTTTTTTGCTTAGTAGCAAAGCTTCTATTTTTAAACAGTATGTTTACTGTTAATATGCTTGGAATTTTTGCCACAATAATACTTAATGTTGTATTTGTCATTTAATTTAAATGTGTGTGTGTGTGTGTATGTGTATGAGAGAGAGAGTACACCATATTGGGGTCAGAAGACAACTTTCGGGAGTCCACTCTTTCCCTCAATTTTGGGTTGCAGGAGTGAAACAAAGGCCTTTGGTCTCGGCCCTTTTATCTCCCAAGCTACCACAAGCAGTCACAATTATATTTAAAGGCTTTTATAGACAATAAAAACTTCTTACTTTAATTATCTGCAGCTGAGTAAACATGGCGGGAAGTTGTGTCGTGAGTCAGGATGAGTGACAGCAGAGACACGGGCATGACAGCCCTCGGTGCTTCCACGAAAGGCACGCGCTGCGTCATCTCTGCAAAGGCTGAAACTCCATCTGTCCTTGGGCTCGAATGGGATTGCCGCATCTCCTTTCACGGTCCGGTGTTTGAGTTATTGTTTCGCAATCCTTCTGCCTGTTTTGGATTTGATTTGGTCAGGATAAGAAACAGAATGATAGAAGATGGTTGCTTGGATTTCTCTGACATTTTCAGAAATGTTACTCAAACCATTACGGGTTTGAAATTTAATTTGAAAGCCTAGAGGTCAAAAATCTTAAATATGAATCATTTTTTTCATTTATCCTAATCAGACACATCATCTCACTGTTGGTTATGAGTAGTTGCATCATTATTCAAAGTATGAAAACCAATTATACTGATTTTATTATTATCTGTTGAATGCCAACTTGATTATTATATGGAATAATTAAAACTAATTCCTGTCTTAGCTATGCAAATGGTATAAATTTTTAGCTTTGGATAAAAATCTCAAAATCAAGCAAAATATTTGTAAAATAAAAAATTTTTACAGTTCCAAAAATTTGAAAAATCTACCTCAAAATATATTTAAACAAGTTTAATATATTACAGGAAAATATTCCAACAAAAAACTCTCAATGGAAAATGATACAGTAGATTTAAAACATATTTGTATGTATAAAGGCTATAATTTTTGTATCCCTTGGGGCAAATCATTTGAAAACACAGACATTTATTATTATAAAGAAAAAGGCAAAAAACTGATAACCTATGAAATTTTGGAAAAGATTTGGGAGAGGAATAACTTCTCCATTTGGAAGAACATGTTTGTTGTGACTCTATTCTTGAGAAGAGCAAGCATGCACTATGGTTTGCAGCTAACAGGGTGTATAGAGACAGAACAAGATAGAACTTGGGTAGTATTCGTCTAAGGCTGGCTCAAGCCTCTTCTGTCTCTGGCTTTTTCTTGATCCGTTTCTAACCTGTCATGTTTCTTCTCTGGATCACATGGGCTCTTGTCTAGACCCTGTCTATAACTCTGTGTAAGAACCCGGTTTCTGAGGCCTGTTTGTTTGGCTTTGAATCTCTCAGTCTCTCCACTCGACACTGATACCGACAAGTTGACCTTCTCCCAGTGTCCTCAATAAAAGCCAATAACTGTAATAGCTTTTGTGCTCGGTTTAACTGCTGATGTCACTTGGAGCCAGCTGACACATGGGAAATACAGTGCCATTGTCTTTAGTGGGGAAGGAAGATCTGAGGGACTTGTCACTTGGTTTTCCCTTCGTACACATATGATACTCCTAGAAACACAGGGTGGGGGTGGCTCAGTGATAAAACACCTGTTTAGTATGTACAAGGTCAAGTGTGTGTTTGTCAGAGACCAGAGTCAACAAAAATGCCTCTTACCAGAGTAGGGACATGGGGATTAGAAAAGTTAGTAAAGGCACGAAACGTGAATGAAAATAATAAAACAGAAGCATAGGATAGTGCCGGGAGGGAGCTCCAGTGAGTACTGAAACCCCCCTGCGTTTAATTTTCTATACATTTTATACCCCAATACCACAGGGGGAAGAAGACAAAAGACTGCTTTAACACGATCCAAAGGACAGATAGGACAGTTATTTGCTTCAATACTTTGAGATGTCAAGTCATTAGCTTTCTGTTGTTTCGGCAGTGAACCTACCCTAGACCAAGTATCCTGAAAGCAGCCACTCCCAAGGTCAAACCTTCTCTTTCAAAAGGAGCAGAAGTATGCTTGGATTTCCTGACCATTGGTCAGGGTGAAGTGGATCTACCTGTCTGGGCTATCTTAATGTCAAAGAGACCAAGTAACCACACCTTAGGTCAGGATGTACAGCCACACTTGCCAACAACTTTGAACAAGCTAAAACTCTCTGACCTTCAGACAAGGTGGAGATAGGCTCACATTTTTGGGCCTCCACATGTGTTCCATCCTCAGGACACAAAACCCAAACCAAACATTTAGAAACAGTTCCCAAACAAAAGGCTAAATCCTACAACATATTCCTTCGATGTTCTACTGACCCTGGAGAATAAGAGACATTATTGAGCTGTGTGTGGCCATCATTTCCTGAGGTGGACACCTAGGAAAACACAAGGCTTATAGCTTATTCCTGAAAGTTACTGTGCTCCAGGATGGTTTGTTCTAGGTCATTCTATGACTTGAGCTGACTGCCCTCGTATGGAGCACAGGATCACACTATAGGGATTCCATGTTCAGGCTTCAAAAGTAGGGCACTGTACTGCCTCACAAACATGGGCTTTTGTTCCTAGTCTCCATCCCCCTGAGCTCTACCTTGCTTCCTTAACTGACTTCTCAGTTTTCAGGAACTTGCCAGTGGATGGAATTCTACATAATAATAGTGGGGATGGCTTCAGGCTGATTCCTGGGACTGGCACCTCCTTGCTGCTGAGCAGATCCCCACAGCTGACAGTCTGTGTGGATAGATTCAGCCCACACTTTCAGAGAGCAACTGCAGGACACCACTCAGATGAGAAGCGTAATGATCACATGAGCAATCTTAAACCCATCGCTCCTCTCTCTGTCAGTGTTCACCAGCACGGTCACGAGAATCTTCTCTTGTGGACTGAGATTCCTCTTTCCATCAAGACAGCAACGTCAAGAAAATTTTCTTAAGACTGAATAATTCTACTTAATGCCAATTTTTTACTTCCTGTGATAGCCCAAGATGAACCCGAGTTTATTCTTTGACAAGGCTGCTGACGGGCCTAATCTTCCACTTGCCACCGTACAGCACATACTGAGGTATTTCTCTAAGAAGCCTGACATCGCCGGACAACCCATCCAAAGCCAAACTGCCGATCTGAGAGTCCTGAACCTCTGTCATTCTCATCCTCCCTGATGCCCCCTTCTCTCCAGAAGCCCACTCTATTTCAGCCAGTGCTCATCCCCTCCAGATGTTGCTCCTCAGAATCCAGTAACAGGTCACCTTACTTTTCCCAGGTTGCTTTCCTGAATTTCTCATCCCACAATCCTCCTCTCTGCCCTTGGCGTCTCCATGAGCCCTGGACTGTGGGTAGCAATGCAAACCAGAGCAACTTGTCTCTGCACCCTTTTCGGTGACTTCCTAGCTCACTCAACAAAACCGACAGGCCAGGGGAGGCCCGGTGGGGTCTGACATCTGGTCCCTGCTGACCTCATCTCCCACCTTTTGCTCTTATTTTCTTTCTTTCTGCCCACTTGTTGTTTGCTGCTCCCACACACCCCATACTTTGGGCCTCTGCCCTTGGTGTAGGTTTTGCTTAATATTGTGACAACTGCCAGTTCTTACCCAACTTCCTTCCCTACCACTCGGCATATAGCAGCTTCTGGTATGCTAAATGATTTATTATGCTGATTGTTTCTCCACGCTACAAGGTAAGCACTATATGTACAGGATTCTTTTTCTCATCACAGGTACTAAGAACAGTGCCTGGTAGACAAATGCCCACCAAATGCCTCTAGAGCAGATGAATCAGCAGTCGCTTGCATGACCAGCACCATCATCTAATGGTAGAGACCCAGGGAGTTCATGAAGGAATCGAAGTCTTCCTGAGTCTTTTACACCAGAACACACCATGCACATACAAGTTCCTGAACCTCCGCTTTACCATGAGTTTGCCAAACTCAGGCCACCGACTCAGTGACACTGGGGAGGTGAGTGTTGAGGTATCCTGGGTCTCAGATCTGGTCTCTTCCCCTCCCCTCCCCGCCCGCCCTCGCGTCCTGTCCTTTGCTTTCCTTTGCTTTCCTTTGCTTTCCTTTCCTTTCCTTTCCTTTCCTTTCCTTTCCTTTCCTCTCCTCTCCTCTCCTCTCCTCTCCTCTCCTCTCCTCTCCTCTCCTCTCCTCTCCTCTCCTCTCCTCTCCTTTCTTTTCCTTTCCTTTCCTTTCCACTCTCATTCTGCTGGTTTCTCTTGAAAGTTAAATCTTAGTTTTTCTCCCTTTAGCATGGATGAAGCTGGCTGACTTGCTTCTAAGATTAGACTGCGGCAGATGATGAGCCAACCTGCCTCCATCTTAGGTAAAGACATTATATAGTAAAGATAAACTAGGTTCATTTCTGTTTGTGATTAAATCTATTTCTCAAAGAGTGGGCTATGCCCCACCTATAACCTTAACTACCAATGGTTCTGTTCTGCTTGTTCATGGAAATGGCAACCATGCCTTTGTTTCAATAGGCTTTATGACCGCCTTGTAACCATGTCTTTGTTTCAGGAGGTTGTTGTGACCAACTTGTTATGTCTGTGTTCTGCTCCTGTAACCCTGCCCGTTTGCCTGCCAAATCCCCCATTCTCTCCCCACCCCTATCCGATGTTAATCTCTTAAACCCCACATTTAGGGAGAGACAGTTGGTGTATACGAATAAAATTGCTTGTTCTAATGAATCTGACCATAGTGTTGTTTCTCCTCCTTTCTGTGGGATCAGCAGCAGAGGGACGGTATCTCACTTCTGACCTGGTTTCACCGGAACTGAGGAAGTAAAAGGATGCAAACAGGGTCTCACAGAAAGTAGAAACATTTTAAGTTGTGACTTTCCTTCAGCTACTTCCTGGGAAGTGCTGGGGTTTCTTCTGAACACTTTGAATAAGTCTGCAATCCGGGGGTCATTCTCCTCAAGTAAACAGGCATCTGGTGTTTTAGCCAATAGCAACAAGTGAGGCTAACTGTTCAAGTTCTTGCTATTTGAGCTGACAGCCTTTGTAAAATGAGAAAGGCAGGTTAGGTCAACTGGAGAAAGAAGGTGCCTGGCTCCATCTGCACCCAATTCACACTGGCCTGAACATGTCTGTTTACATTCAGAAAGTGTGAGCAACACACTTCTATGGTTTGAATTTTAAAGAACTATGCTGACATTGTGACCACTTTATTCTAAAACATGAATTTTGGCATTTTTTTTTCCAGAGCAAAATTAATGTCATTAAATGAAGGCCTTAAACTTGGAAGTTTCTTAAATGGGTTTGGCGATTAAAATATAGTAAATTCACAACAGGCTCAGCTGGGGCCAGCATCACAGCTGGGTGCACAGGTGCCCACGGCCTGTGCTCAGACATCTTTGTTCCGGGGTTAATATTCTTCTCATGCTGTCTGGGAATCTCTATTGGCTTCTGAAACACAGGCCCCTAACTTCAGCTCACCATGGACCCTCAGTTCTCAGGACAGATGTCATCAGTGTGAATGGTTATTGCCTCAGGGGTAAGGGGATATTTCAAAACCATTAGGGAAAGTTACAACATGCGTCTGTGTATCTCATATTATTTGTAGTAAAAAGCAACTGAAACAGTCCCTTTGGCCATGGAGGCAAAGGGTGTGACAGTCCTGTCAATGAACTTTAGGGCTGTTTTAGATTTTTTTCATAGAGGTCTAAAAATATCTTCATGTGTCTTTTTCCATCTCCTTAAAACAATTGCACCTGTCAGCTTGTAATCACACAATAAAGCTTCTCACCTGTGAGCTGTAATCACACAGTGAAGCTTCTCACCTGTGAGCTGTGGTCACACTGAAGCTCCTCACCTGGGAGCTGTGTTCACGCAGTAAAGTTTGAGACTAGTTCTTACTCACTGGATGGCAAATCTGAATGTTTCCATATATAGCTTAAAAACATATAATAGAAAATTCAATTTAAAATTAGATAAAGCAGTTACATTTCCAAACATGTAACAGTTTAGCCAGACACATACTTTCTGTCTGTCTGTCTTTCTGAAACCTGACTCATGGCTCCTGTTGTCTGTCAGGTTGGTAGACTTCAAAATTTCTATTATTTTATAGACCCACCCTGAGCTTGGTCCCTGACTCAGCCAGGGTGGAGCAGACAGAACCCTAACTCACACCAGTTGTGACGAGCCG